TTTTTTTTTTGTATCCCGGGGCTACTAAATGAGCGGCCTCAGCTTTATCCGGTTCGCAAACCGACGGCAGGTGGAGTCCGGTTACCTCCTTATAATACAGCGCACTAATTGCCTACGAACCTGCCGATTCTAAAAAGATGAACCCTAGGGGTAAAGGAGGCGGATTAAGAGTTTTATATAAACCTCCACCGGCTGCCAACCGTCCCACTCTTATACGCCTACCTACAAGGCACGAGCGCAGGGGATGCCAACCCTGCTAACTCTTGACTAATGCGCAATCAACTGACAAGTGAATACATAAAAATAAATGCCTACTGGCGTAAGGCCTTACGTACAACATGTTCTCACTGTTGAGGGAACACTAACCTAGATTTTCTTATCTCATTCGTCTTCAAGCTCCCCGGCCTTCCTCGCAACTGTGTCTCTTGCAATACGCACTGCTCCCACCTGGAGTAGCGTCGCGAATTCCCTTTCCGGCTTTCCTGCTACTGCATACGGAGAGCAGGGACATGAGAGCAGATACGAATAAGACTGAACATAAATCCATCTAAATTAATTATGATATACAGACGGCGCCACACCCTACTGCCCGGCACACCGAGCCAGCGTGTAATGAAATGATAATGTCACAAAATTTTTTTTTTGAGTAGGTTTCACTTAACCTGCCGCTTATGTATATTTCTCCTTATACGCCCAGCTGTCGGCGATGCTAGTCCCTCCACTCTAAGCTTCTTATTTGAAGACCGTCCTGCTATCATCATTTTGCCTCCAGTCTTTTTAGGCCTTGCCTTGGAACTTCTGAGGAATAACCTTCCATGCGTCCGTCATGGCAGCTTCATCTTTTTTAGTTTTCCGCAAGCTGACAGTGGGAGTCTCCCGGAGAGAGAAAGATCTATACTCATTTAATACAAGATAATATTCTTGGAAGATACAAGATTATTCTTGAAAGATATCCAGGATCAGTTAAACTGCCAGGTCTAAGGGAAATTCATGTTCTTTGATAAAGGGATCATACAGCAGTAACATAATGAAATATTACTAAGATATAGGAAGTCATCAGAAAAAGAAAATAAGAAAAAATGAAATTTTTCAAATTAATCATTCACGTTTCAATGCGGGCTTCGCTCGATTTTCTCTGAGAAGCGATTGTATGAGGACAAGAGGGGAAAGACCAACCGGGATGGTTGGTCTTATCATCGGTAGTCTCTCAACTTACACAAGATATAATAGAGCAACAGATGAAATACACAGACAGACACCGGACTCTCGTATGTCTACCACTTAAATAATTTTTAGAATCCCTTAATATCATCATGAGCTCCATGTTGTGGATATAGATTCTCTCGTGATAAAAAATCTCAACAGAAAATGTCACACTAGATCCCAATCGGTTTCCAATAAAGGGCGACCGGCGGATCACCCGAGAAGGAGAAACAGTGTAAACCTCCTGGTAGGTAGAGGAGCACACTGAATTCAGGTTTCTCTCATGACAGATATACCACGACGCTAGGTGCGCCAGCTTGGTGAAAAAAAAAAGAAGAATAAGTCTCCCTGGACGCTATGTGGCCCCGGGATCCTGCGCATTAGTCAAGAGTTAGCAGGGTTGGCATCCCCTGCGCTCGTGCCTTGAAGGTAGGCGTATAAGAGTGGGACGGTTGGCAGCCGGTGGAGGTTTATATAAGACTCGTAATCCGCCTCCTTTGCCCCTAGGGTTCACCATTTTAGAATCGGCGGGTTCGTAGGCAATTAGTGCGCTGTATTATAAGGAGGTAACCGGACTCCACCTGCCGTCGGTTTGCGAACCGGATAAAGCTGAGGCCGCTCATTTAGTAGCCCCGGGATACAAAAAAAAAACCGGGCAGAAGCGAGGCCCCCTTGAATCTTGAATCACAACTACAAGAAGTTGTAGAGTGTGGCGAGGACAGAGAGATCTCCTGGAGGTTGTAGAGTGTGGCGAGGACAGAGAGATCTCCTTATGGTCGTCTGGATCTGACACATAAAATGAGAGGAGGATGCATGATCT